CCTGTTAAAAATATAATTTTAAAAAATAAACTCAAAATTAGCCGACGGAGTCTAAATGAAAGTTGTAGATCTCGTCGATAGATACGCGTGGATATAAAATGCGTCGAAAACGAAGCTCATATGAAGAAGATATGAATTTCTAAAGAAAATATAATTTCTCGCGCGCACCCGCCTGCAATGACGGCGTGTGCGTAGTGCATCTAACACTCCACCAGATTTCTGCCACATGTCACCACCCAGACAAAGCCACGTCAGCACCCTCGACCAGGTACGCGACATGCACCCGACCATATGCATGGTGTGCACACCGAAACCAGCTATAAATAGGCAAGATTTTCATTCATTTCTTTACCCCTTTCCTCCAGAACCTATTTGGAACTCTCTCGTACTCTTACTCCCTTTACTTCTAGTTTTCGGCTACTTTTGCGAGGCCCTGAAGCGTCTAAGATATAGAGCTTTCAGATCGAGATTCTGCAAGCATAATTTCCCAATTTTCTCTAGAAACACTGTAAGTTAAGCTACACTTATTTTATTTAAGTGTAACTTTTAATTATAGTCATAGTCGTTATTATGAACCTATAATTAAGATTTATCAGTGATTCCAAGTCATTATACTGATTGATCTACCTACGGGGATGATGTCTAGGTTCGATTTAGTGAGGTGTTTAAAATGAAATTTCAAAACAGTATACTCTGTATACTAAACTGATCCTACATTTGATATGATCCTACCTGGTTGTTCCTTACTTGATAGATCTCGATGTAGACATTGGGATTAGTGAGAAATCTAGAGTATCATTAGTCACCAGGAATATAAGACTAAAACTTAGTAATATGAACCTAAGTCACGTCAGAGGAGAAGCTGAAACACCAAGGCGGAATTCTGCTCAAATTCTCCAGTCATCCACCTAAGTCAGGTGAGTGCATAGTTACTTTCAGCTTACACATAGATATCAAGTATTTAATTTTTCTTAGATGCCTTATGTGCTTATTATTTGCGTTCCTGATAACTGTGCAAAATGAGATCATGATTTTACTCGCAATAAGTTGTATATGTATTTTATTATACTTATATTGTATCAGGTAAAAAAGGGTAGAGAGAAAAAAGAGATAATATAATGGTGAAAGACCATACCAGAGATAGAATAGTGATGAGAGGCCATGCCATAGATAATACAATGGCGAGAGAACATGACCCAACAGAGAGTAGTCATCTAGCAGAGTATTGATGACAACCACAGACTCTTCTAGACATTCCATTAACTTGTTCAGCTCCCGATAATCAATGTACATCATGTGGGAACCATCCTTCTTCTTCACAAATAAAATCGGTGATCCTTATGGTGAGCTACTCGGTCTGATAAACCCATTGTCTAATAGTTCCTGCAGCTGTGTAGACAACTCCTGCATCTCTGATGGTGCCAACTGATAAGGTTCCTTGGCTATTGGAGTCGTGCCTGGTACCAGATCAATACGAAACTCCAAATGCCTCTCCATAGGCACTCCATGCAAGTCCTTTGGGAATACATCTAAGTACTCTTGAACTACTAGTACATTCTCTATCGACCTCTCTCTCTCTCTCTCTCTCTCTCTCCCTCTCTCCATCTTGGTGTCCAATACATAAGCCACAATACCTGAACAACCCTGCTAAAAATATATCCTAGCTCTCGCAGCTGAACAAAGAGTCGTTCTGCGCTGAGCACCTTTACCATGAATAACTAGTTCTCCCCAATTATGGGTTCGAACCCGCACTGACTGGTGTCCAAAATCAATCATTGCCCCATTAGGGCTCAACCAGTCCATCCCCACAATGACCTTACTCTCACGCAAAAGGATAGGAACCAAATCAATCAGGTACTTCTCTCGAGAGTACATCCCCGATGAACCCTCGACACTCTCACTGAACGATCATCGACAATCTCTACATCCAACGCATAATCTAGCTCCCCAGGTACATCATCAAATCTCTTGTTGAGTGCAACAAATATAAACGGTCGAGTAGCACCTGAATAAAAAAGAACCAGAGCAGGCAATCCGTTCACTAAGAACGTCCCTAAACATTACCACATGAAACATAAGCATAAACAATAATGAAAGCACATAAATAAATGGAAACACATACTCATAACCATGTCAAGAGTCACACACACCTCCTCGACCATCAGTTGAAAAGCCCTGCTCTTCACTACAGGGGTCGCCTGCATGCCCTCCCGGCCATCAGTGATCCTCAACATCGCCAGAGCGGGTGCCGTGACCGCTCCTCTAGTCAAACCCGGGCAATCGGCCTTCTTATGGCCCCTCTATTTGCAATGAAAGCAGATGAGACCTGAAACATGGGTGGTGGTGGTGGCAGTGCAATCCCTGCCAAAATGCCCCGTCTTCCGCACTTATAGCAGCCCGCACCACCTGCCCTGCAAACTTTGTCATGTTCATTTGTTTGTTAAATAAACAACCGCAAACAAATGTTTTACCGAACGGTTTACCAAATACTCCCTCCGTCCCAAAATTATTGTCAACAGACAAAAAACACATAGATTAAGAAAAGCAATAATTAGTTTTGTCTTTTTGAGTAAAATGACCCTTTTGTCATTTTCTAAAACCAATGGGAAATGTGCGTTTGTAATTATTCAAGTTTAATTTATTAAATGTTAGGGGTAATATGGTAAAAGTGTATATCTACTTTTGGTAGTGGACAATAATTTTGGGACAAACTAAAATAGTAAGGTGGACAATAATTTTGGGACGGAAGGAGTATTTAGTTCACTTACGATCCTAATTTTTTTAAAAAGTATTTGAATAAGCTTGTAGGCACAAGCAACAATCTTGAATACACAAATATATATTTTTATCTTTATTTCAGAGAAAAAACTAATAATATATAGTTAATTTAGGAAAACACAAAGGTAAAAAATAATTTAATGAAAAACATGTTAGTTATTTCATACATTTTTTATGAAAACTATGTTCACTCATTTGCCGGTCGACCCGACACATTGGATTTACCCGTTGGATCACGGAGTCGACTTTCCTTTCAAGCATGGGTTATTTCCATAAAAGACCTTATATTTTGACTTTTTTTCTTTTTAGACCTAGAATTTTTTTTCCGAAAAAGACCTAACTTTTACCTGTTACTTGTTATTTCAGACCCTAGCAATTTCAGACCCTAGCAGGTCACCGACAGGTAAATTAGATATTTTTTTGTTTCATAAAAGACCCTATATTTTATAGTTTTTTCCATTTTAGACCTAAAATGTTTTTTTTTTCAAAATAAACTCAACTTTAAAATTTGTTATAATCTTCAAGACCAAATATATATAAGGTACTTCTTGACTACACCGAAAAAGAAAGTATACATGTATAAACTAAAAAATGTTATCTAATCTATTATCTTTTGAACGAATATAACCTAGAAGAATTGCAAAATTTTATTTTTGTCTAAAAGATATAATTAAACTTTGTCTTGGATATATATTATATCATTAAACTTGATATATTGTTTATAAAAAATGTTATTATTACCGCTAATAAAAAGTTTGATGTTAATTTGATATTTTTTGGTAACATTGATAATACATGGCTAGGAAGAATCTTTTAGCATAATAACAATTTTTTTTTATTTGTAGAAAAAAAAAACATACCATTTAATTTAACAAACTGTATACAAAATAAAATTTTTTAGTTTGTCTATTATACCTATTTCGTGAGTTTGGACATATTTTCCTCTCTCACTTTTCTATATTATTTTTTTGGTCGAATTTTTTAATCAATTTTTTTTTAACAGTTAATAAATGCACTCACTATCATACTCATAAACCAAAGTCATAGAATATTTTGTAGCATTAGCTCATTATTGAATAATATGTTATAATTATATCAAATACATATATAAAAATATTAATCCTAAACATTCGTAATAGTTTTGTTTAGATATATCAGATTCAAGTTTAAGACATTCTTAAAAAATGTTAACATTACATATAAATACATAAAACTATATTATGAGAATGAAACCATTTGAGCATAAGTTAAAAATCCAAATAACAAAAATGATACCGCACACTTAAATATCCAAACACATGGTGTTTATATATCGCGATTATTGATTCTTAAGTATAATCATATTAATTACCAAAATAAAATTTAGGATTTCATTTTAATTTAAAAAAGCTTGAAGGTGTTTGGTACTCAATTGGTTATTGAATTTATGATCTTAAAATTATATAAAATCTCTTTTGTGCTGTTAGGAAATTTGACTTCACATGTCTATGTATTCAACTCCTAGCTTTTGGTAATTGTTTTAGGTAACTGAAATCGAAAAACTATTTAAACCAATAATATAAAAAAAAAGGTTTTGGAGCTAGAAACTGTAAATTTTCCCAAATGTAGACAAAACATTTTGTTATTATTTATATTACACTCGTGAAAAAAAAATTATACTATACAACTTCATTTTATGTGTAATGGTTTAAAAAAAATGTTTCATGCGTAAATCAATACGACGCCAAAAGATGCAAAAGTTAAATCGTTGTCTATTATTTAAATTAAAAGAATATAAGTATGTTTTTTATGCCTTGACGAAATTAAGTTACATGAACTTGGTGTAGTGAAGAAATAGCTTTTACAACTCCTTTTTTTTGTATAAATATACGTGGACAAAGAATTGTCCAATTATAAATAAATGTAGGCATAATAATTACATTGTTTAAATCGATGTTTATGTTTAAACTAAAAGGATATAATCACGTTTTTATACAACTAGTCTTGAAATAAAAAACATTTTAGGTCTAAATTGGAAAAAAGTACTAAATATAGGGTCTTTTATGAAATAAAAATATTTCATTTCCCTTTTGGTGACCTGTTAGGTCTAAAACAACAAGTAACATGTAAAAGTTGAGTGTTTTTCGAAAAAGAAAAAAAATTTAGGTCTAAAAACAAAAAAATTCAAAATATAGGTCTTCTAATTCCTTTCAAACTTTATGGAACCACTGATTCCTCTTCGGATGTACGAATATCAAATTGAGGGGAGGGGAAAGAGCAGCGAGCGACGGAGACGAGAAAACAACGACTGCGATAAAGAGGATTATAAAAGCAGGTCACAGTTCCACTCCAATTCCATTGCTTCTAATCTTCTCGAGGTGGAAACTTCACAGCTTGAATAACACTTGTCCGGAAGGTAAAATAATGTTTCCCTATTTCAGTTTCAGCTGTGTTAGTCTCTAATTGCAACATACGAAATGAAGTTACCGACGTAATCGCTATCCGAACCCTAATTTTGGATAGATAACTTCACTCTACGTTTTTATCGTTTGATCAAAACTAGTATCATTGCGGAATTATATATTTGATTGATCTTAGAATCTTTGTTGTAGAGTAATGGATGCTCAAGCAAAGAAGAAGGCACTGTATCGTGCTAAATTGAAAGCGCAAAAGCAGGATAAACGTATTGATTCTCCTCTCGTAAGGTATAGTGTTAATTTCTACACAAACATTTATTGAGAAAGTAAAACTGGTAGCTGATTAGCCATCTAAAATTGGGAGTTTAATAGTAATTTGAGTAGCTGGATCTTTTTATCTCATCTTCATTTATCTTTTCATGTTCTTGTTTAAGCAATCACAAATATGACATGACATAAGCTTTAACATAACATAACAAGGTTTCATGGTGAATATTGGTGTTCCTTAACTGCTTTGTATCTTCTTGGATTGTTAGATTACTTGCTGTTCTTTCTTCAATTCATATTAATGATGAAAATTGCTGTTATAAATCCCATCTCACTTACTTTTATTGGTTCTAGGTACAATGAATCTGATCAACCAGTCTGTAGGGTTTGTGATATTGTCCTAAAATCTGACTCTGCTTGGGGTGCACACCAAATATCTGCTAAGCATCGCGAGGTATATAATCATATATGCACTCTTCTTTCCCCCTCTTTGTTCTTTTTATCCCTTTGATTTCAAAAAACACTGGTGATTTTAACAGGCGATTAAAAATGTAAAAGCAAATGCTGCTGCAGCTAGTAAGGTTAACAATGTAAAGCCCGGTGGTTCTACAGAATCTGGTAAAGTCAAACCTGTTGACTCAGTTAAAAGTCAAACCGAACCAGCTCAACCTAAACCTCAATCTGTACTTCCTTCTGATTTCTTTGATAAGCCTGACACAAAAAGGCAAAAGAATGGTAAGAGTGCATTATATTACTACTTTTCAGTGTGTTTTTTGCTTAAATATCATTCAAAGTGTTTTAAATGGAACAATTGTTTGTCTGCTTATAGAAATCAGTAATGCAAAGATAATGGAGAATGATAAAAAGAAGAAGGTGGTGGGTGGTGTTCAAGTTCAAGTTACAAATGTGTTTAATGTGGATAATAAAAGAGCTTCAGAGACCATAGATGATGAGATTGAGGGCTCTGAGACACGAACTCTTCCGGAAGGTTTCTTTGATGATAAAGATGCTGATCTACGTGCACGTGGAATTAAACCTGTTAAGCTAGATATCAAGTAAGTTTTTTGATATTTCTTTTCAATAAAAGTCATTAAGTTGTAAGCTTTCTGAATGTTCTTGAAATCAAATTCAAGAGCAGCAGTATGTGTCATTTGTTGAATAAATGCTCATAGATATAATACATACACTCTAGGATGCTAAAAATTTACAAAGAAAAGATAATTAGTTATTTAGTTTAGTCATACTAAAGAGAAATAAATTGTTAAATGTAAGGGTAATTTTGGCAACAAACATAGGCTAATTGTACAAACACCTTTTCACTATTCTTGTATCTTCTTCTGTTGTATTTTTTCAAGGGGCTAGGGTTTATCTTTAAACATTATCTTTATGTGTTTTTGATAAAATGTAACATCAATTTGCTTTAGTCAGCACATTGACTCTGTCAACTGTTTGTGCTTTTTAGTGAATTGAAATGCCATAGAGTTTGTTAGTTTAGCTAATAAACAACAAAAAGAAAAGCTTGCTAATATAAAAAGGGACTAAATTTATAAGATTTTTTCAAATTACATGAAACACTTTTAATTTTTAAAATCATGAAAAACTTGAGCAGAGACGAATACAAGGAGTTTGAGAAGTTGATCCAAGAGGACTTGAAGGAGGTAGACAATCGGTTAGAAGAGGAAGAGGTTTGTATCATTATTCATTTATATGCACATAAACTTAAAATATGCTTCTTTAAATACTTAATTTTCTTTTTATTTTTTTCTTAAATTTCATTTAGTATGACGCTGCTGAGATGATCGAAGAAGCTGAAACCGCAGAGCAAAGGTAAGTAGCATTTTCTCTGACAGACAAATACTGTATGCATCATGCATAATATGCTTGATACATACACTATGTCTGTATGTGCCTGATGCATAATATGCATCAGGCACAATGTGTATTATCTGTGCCTGATGTATAACTTGTCTAGCAAGTTATTCATCAGGCACAATGTGCTTGATACATATTGTCTGTGTCTGATGCATATTGTATGCATCAGACACAGTGTATCATTTGTGTCTGATACATTTTATCAGACACAAAATTGGGGAATTATTTGGTTTTTGACTTGTGATTGAAATTGAACTTATTGCAGGAGTTGTAGGGAGAGAGTGGAATTATTCAAGAGGAAAAAATTGGAGCTTAAGGCCACAAGGTCAGACAAGCAAAAGCAAAGTAAAGCTTCACAAGTGGTTGAGAAAGAAAGTAGTGTTGATGAGTCATCGAGTGACGTGGACAGTGATGATGACGTGGACTGGAGAGCTAAACATTTGTAGACACAGTTTCCCTTGGTGGTAGGTAGCATTCTCCACACTATTTGCCTTAATGTTTTTCTTTGCATATGCTGAAGTTTTTGCAGATTAAAGTTTTTGACCAAATCCTTCAAGTCAATGAGTGAGAGATACTGGTACTTCTTGTTTAGACATCACATATTTTCAAGTTCATCATCATCATCCTTGTAATCCAACCTCCTAATTAGTTACAATTTTACCCCTATGGTTTGTATTGGAGGTTTCGAACCATAAAAATAGTTGTAGCATTTTGAAAGACCTAACTTTTTAACTATATATTGAACAAAAAATGGTCATAGGATAAAAGAAGGCCTCTGTTTTTGCCATGCAAAAGGGGATTTTCGGCATTGTGAGAAGTTGGGGGTATTTTAGTCATCTACTTATGTTAGATTTGGTGTAAATTGCACCAGTTGCATGTTTTGATTGACACCGCCGAATAAAAACATATAAAATTAAGGGATTAATGACAAAACTACCATCCCAAATGATCATTTATATACATCTAACCAAATTTTAACACATTTTCCAAAATGACCTTATAGTTCTAAATAATAGAAGGTTTTATAACCAACTAATAACAACACTAAATGGCTATTATATCCGAAATTAATAATAAATAAAAAACTTGCTTCAACTTGGAAATTAAAGCCACATGCAATGAAAGTGATGCAAAAACCACATAGCACAAATGCAACACATTTCTGGAAAGGTTGCATGAAAACAACATGATCGAATGCAATAGAATGGTTTAGGAGCATCATTAACATTAATATTCCTTGTATTTAGTCTTTGAATATGTGTTTGTGAAACAAGATAAAAAAAGAAGGCAACACAAACACCTTCAAACCAAGTTTTTCAGTGAATCTCAAACAAACATCTACCTCAAAATCATTCCATTCCACCAAACTTTTTTCTTAACAAGAATGCAACTATCGTTCCAATGTTCTTCCTTACCTACCTACCTATTAAATGCAATAGAAGCCAAATAAATCTACCGTTTGATTATAAGGGAGTTTAATTTATGGTCTTTATCCATCCCAACATAGTATTGGTGAGAATGGCAGCATCTTCAAACAAACTTGAAAATTTTGGTTGCATAGCAGACATGAGTTATCAATCTTTCAATGCACATATTTCCTTTTTGATGGTTAAATCGACCAAAAAAAAAAACTTTTAAATAGTCAATTTTCCCGGCTTTTGTAGAATAGAAAGTTTTATGTAGTATTTAAAAAAAATTATAATAACCAGTGTTATCTTTCTTTTTAGATCTCATCCACTGAAAAGGATAATGAAGCAAATCCTGATGAGTGTTGTCATCAAGATCTGAAGAACTTGCATCATAATCAATACCAATAACAAGACATTAAAATCATCCTGCCTCTTAGAATTTGTAGGACTAATAAAATCTTGATCATGTCTCTCGGAATCATCAATAAAATCACATAATTCAAAAGGGGCAGGTGAGGGCATATGATTACTATTCACTTCTCCCATAGACGAAGCATCATCTGAGATTATACCCGTTAGATTAGTTTCAATGCAAACGCGGTTAGTAAAAAGGTTCTCTTCCAAATCATCATCCATATACACAATGCTACCATATTTATTGACAATATTTTGGAAATTTACTTTGCTCCAAGTTATCAAAGGAATTCCTTCGATGTCAATCCAAATGAGGCGTTCCTTAATAATGAAATCTCTGATCCAAGGGTTCAACTCCTTAAACCATGAGACCACTTTGTGTTGAGTAAAATTATGACCGGCCTTATCGAAATTCATCTTGATCTGAGAGTTTAGGAGAGGGTGAGCTACAGCAAGGAGAGGAACTGAGACGGGATGTAGAAGTATTTGATACTTGATGTTTGGCAAAAAAAAAAGGCAAACCACTCGACCATTTCGGCAGTTTACTGATATATTATTTTTAATACTTGATGTTTAAATTAAAGTTTTTTACAATATTGTTAATCCATGAAAAGAAGTGTTGACTTGGCAGAAGCAGTAGAAGAAAAATAGATCTTAAGATATTGTTTGTATTTTAAAAGGTAAACCATTAAATCGTCTGCAGTCAACGGACCACATCTGCAGAAAAAGAGGTGGAAAAAACGTCTGCATTCTGCAAGAAAAAGACTGTTTTTTTTAAAGTCTGCAAGCTGCTAAAAGAATTGAAGTTTATAAAAAGTAATTTCTTTAAGCTTAAAAGATTGCAATCTGATCTAATTTTCTAACGTAATTTGTAAAATTTAATATTGATATCCTAACTCAATGACCCTTTTGATTTAACCATAACTTATAATCTCATCGTCTGTCAAGTTGAGTTTGTAGTCTTCAATATCCATCCCAAGTCCCAACATATTATTGGTGAGAATGACAGCATCTTGACATAGACTAAGAAAAATTGGTCGCAACACATCCCTCTTTGATGCAGACAGCTGAGATATCAACCGTTGAATGCGCTCAAACAATGCACGCATATCCTCCAACCATGTAACTATGGGATGAGTCTCTAATCCCCTCTCCATAATATTATATCTTCGCCTTAACGATGCCATCATGCGACAATTCTCTAGTTCTACAATTACCCTTTGCTGAAGCATTGCCATCATTTTCCTAAGCTTATATTGCAATTCCCATGCCCAAAGCATCATCCAGACTTGTGGTTTGCCATGTTCATCCATATGAGCCTTGTCAGTTTCACTATCTGAATTTGCTTTACACTCCTTTACCAATGTCCTCAGGTGTCTCACAAATTCGTGTGCTAATGCTATATCCCCCATAACTATAATCTCCTGCAAGTCATAAAAAATTTCAAGTTTTTGTAATGTTACAATGTCATAAACTAGGAAAAATATATGGCATTGTGTAAATACCTCACGTGAGACCATTGGGAAGATGGAACTTGGAGAATTATCATCGTAGTTTTTTATTTCAGTACACGTGGTTACTTTTTCCAAGTATACACTTTCTGGAATACTTGGTACAAACTTTACTATCTTTGCATTAGCCAACACACAAGTTTTATATGGGCTTACTTCCATGCCTAAAGAAAAACGCTGCACAAAATATAACAAAACCAAATTACATATATGCATGTTTATACTTTTTTGTTTTTTTATGTGCTTTTTAGATTTTTTAGAGTAAATTACTGAAATCGTCCCTATGGTTTGGTCAACATTTCATGTTTGGTCCTAACTTTTTTTTTGCACTCGGATCGTCCCTCTGGTTTGATTTTGTTGCGTTTTTCATCCCTATGGTTTGGTCAAAATTGCGTGTTTAGTCCCTAAATTTATGTATGTAAGGGACGAAAAATGCAACAAAAGCAAACCCAGGGACGATCCGAGTGCAAAAAAAAAGTTAGGGACCAAACATGCAATTTTGACCAAACCATAGGGACGATTTCAGTAATTTACTCGATTTTTTATGTGCAATTGGCCTAGGTGGTGTTGGTTTTGAAAAAAATTGGTTCTCAAGTTCTCACATACCGCTGATTTACTCATCCTCCGTTTGACATTCCTAAATCTGGGCCGCACCTGCACAGTCAAGAAACCAAACACAACTTGAAATTAAACACAATAAATAGTATGTAATGTCACATATCATAAAAATGATAAAAACAGTTTCCTAAACACTGTTGAACGGATATGTCTGTCTTTTTTTTATTTTATTTTTTTCAGAATTCTGAATGAACATGTAGTTATGGAGGGTTATTTCATCTTGAAGTAGAGCAGCCAAATGCAACAACTCCTGGTATACCTTTATTGAAAAAAGACGCTGCAGAAAATAAAACAAAAAGAAATTAGATATAGATTAATGTCATCTTTATAACCATACACAAACACACATATAGTTATGGAAGGTTATATATCATCTTCAAGTAGAGGCTAGAGCAGCTAGCCAAATGGAAGAATACCTTGTCTTGTGAAAGAAATATAAAAGTGTATTTGCTATTGTTGAGATTAAAAGATGAAAGAAGCAAATCCAATACCTGGAGAATCTGCAAGTTAAGTGTAAGAAGCTTGACACTATGGAGCTGTTGAAGCAGAGAAACTATTTTATGAGCATCTGCATTCCCTGCATCATAGAAGTAGAGACGAACCTTCTCCAAAGAATGGAAACCTGGTTTTGTACAAGTAAAAATCTGGCATGGATGAAAACCTTCTATGACCAAGGAGGTAAGCCCAGGTGCAGAAATCAGATGTGTCCCTTCGCACCATTTGATAGTGAGATTCTTGAGTTGAGGTGCAACCACATTCACACCCTCCTGTAATTCCATATCCGGGGGTGTAGATACAAGTGTAAGATCAGAAAGTCGAGGATGACAGATAGTTAAAACTTCCATCTCCTCCATTAATGTGCATTCTTTTAAGATGAGGTTCTTCAAGTTAGTGCACTTGGAGAAAAGGTCATCAGACATGAGTTTGACACAGTGAAGATGCAATGTGGTTAAAGCTGGGAGGTCCCACTTTGGTGTCACAATGAAGGAATATGGGAATATAATCGAATTCCCAGGCGCACGTATAACACTCAGTTGTTGGAGATTGTGAGAGAATGCGAAGCTGAGAATTCTCGAGACAGATTCATCGTCCGTAACTGTTCTCCCAAGTAACAGACTGACTGAAGAAACTTGTATTTTTTTATTGCGGTTAGACAAAACATTAGAAATAAATTTGGAGAGGTGGGGCCGATCATTGAGATTTTCAAAATTCAAGTCAGGCATTGAAGTCCAGATAAACTTCCATCTAGACGACAAAACACAGGTTCTGATAGCATCTTTAATGCTCATAAAAGAAAAGATTTCATGGATAAGATCATCCGTCAGGCTGCTTAGTCTATCATCGCCTCCTTCTACATCTATTGATTTTTTTCTTTTTCTTACAGATCCCACCAGATCATTGTTATGCATTATTCCCTGCAATGCAACAACAATCAATCAGGACATACAAAACAAACAAACCAAATTCTACAATTCGCCAGGTGAATTCTAGAATTTCCAAAGGAATCAATATCTTAAACTTAATTTAATTTAATTCATAAATAAGAATATAAACAATCCATAACTTGGATATCCTTTGTTGTCAACTTCAGTGGATAACAGTAAAAAGTAAAAACAGAAAACCAGTTCAAATTATCCCAAATCTACATAACGTCATTATAAGGCCGGTGCCAAAGTGTTCTAGTTAAAATCCACTAACCAACAAGAAAATTCTCATAAGCAACCATGAGCGTTGCTTTTAATTGGTCAAAACCTGGAACGAAAATTGGAATGGAAAAAAATCTTAGGTAACGTTTTCCAACAATTACATAACTAATTCATTCTTCACATCACTATATAAAATTAGCAATTAGGTATCTAACAAAGAAATCACTGTTCCAGCAATTCAAAAAATTAGGTTAATAGTGTAGCCATAAACTTGTGCAATCAAATTCACAATCACAATTCATAAAGTTAAATGAAGAAAAAAAAAAACTAGGTTAGAACTTTTTATACTCACAGGAGAATGGGATTGCAAAAAAAATTCGAGAGCAACGATGAAGGGGCAGACGGCCTGCGTTGTGTCGTATGTCGATAGCTTTTAAACATAAAGACCCAATCTGTGAATATTATTAAAAGGATGCACCTCATAAACCTTCAAAATATAATATTTGTCAAAATTCTTTTATTTTATAATATTTTTTATAACTTAAAATTACTATAATAATTAAAAATTTTAACGATATTATCCTTACGTCTGTGATAATGGAATGTGAACTTCTAAATTGTTGAAATGTCGTCCTCTTGACAAACAAAAATATTCATCTTCAACCCTCTTTATGGAATGTATATTTTGATTGTTTAGTTTTTTTGTTGATTATGTTGTAGATGAATGATATTTTAGATATTACCATTGATATTTTGATGTTTAAAAAGTGCATATACGATATTTTGATATTTAAGAAGGGCATATATGATATTTTGATGTTTAAAAAGAACATATATGATATTTTGAAATTTTATGAATGGTAAATATGATATTTAGAAATTTTATGAAGGGTAAATATGATATTTAGATTTTAAGTTGGGTAATATGATATTTTGATGTTTAAGAAGGGCATATGTGAAATTCTCCCTTATTAAAAAGAAACCTTATAACATGAACGTTGATTGTATTTTAATCCTATCTTTTCTACCCTTAGATAAAATTACTGACATCATCTTCCCCAAATGGAATTTATTTAATTCCAATAAAAGCTTTTCAATTGTCAAACAAAATTAACTTACATCCATTAAAATGGAATGTATATAATTCCAATAAAATCTTCCCATATTTTAAATCTTCAATTTCCGGTTATAAAGGTTTTAATATGGTCAACTTTAAAAACATATAAGTAACAAACCATTTCAATTAAGACATTAATATCAACCATTAATATAAATTTGTTTATATTACTAAACCATTAATATAAAATCCATTTTTATTAGGAAACCATTAATACCAAAAAATCAGATTCAAATTAGCACATACATATATGATTCATCATTGAATCCGTGGCTCACACTTACTTTCAATCGTTGCTTTTCTTCAAACATTCTCCTACAACATCATTCTTATTGTTTATAACTTCCATCATCATTCTCTGTTTCAAACATTCATTGTTTTGCAGTAGAAGGTCAGTACATTCTTTCGTTTTTTATATATTTTTCGATTATTTTTTGTTCCTATATAAAATATATGTATTCATATATTTCGATTTTCTTTGTCACAAATTACATGAAATCGGCTAACTATTTTTCTGAAACTTTTCAAATAAACAGGAAAAGATGTTATGTATATTTTACAAAATAGAAATTAACTATCTTTGGAATTGACACTAATTAGGAAAATGTTATTTTTATATATTAAAGATGATTATGATTTTTTTTAATTATTATGTCATAAGAATCCGGTTAATTTTGGTATGATTTTAAAATATTTTGGCATGATCCTATTATACTTTTAAGTTGATTTAATAGGAAATAATATATAATCTATTTATGCATCCTTTAAAATTAAGTATGGAAACAATTTTGTTGACAGCTATAATAGCTTTCATACCTCTTTATGAATCATACCTCTTTATAGATAAATACATTATATACGTCCCTTTTATTTCATATAAAAGTTCTTTCTAATTCTAATTGTTTTCTCTTTCATTTTACACCCATGACACAAAACAATCGTGATGAGATCGTCTTTGATAAGGTTGCTAACATTGATGCATCCAAGGAAACCTGAAACATTTGTGTTCAAGTACTCTTGCTTTGGAAGCAAACTTAAAAAACAACACAAACATGTTCAACAGCTTGGACATGATTTTAATTGACGAGTAGGTACAACTTTTTCTTTTTATTATTATGTTGCTTTTAATTTATAAAAATTTAAACTCAACCAATTTTTTTTCACTTACATGGCACTAAAATACAAGCAACAATAAAAAAATCTCATTAGTTTGAAGGATTTGTAAGGGAAATTAGTAGTTTTGCTATGGCCAGAAATGAAGGAGATTACATGTTGGTTGATCATAAACATAAGAATAATTTCTACAAAACAACCAAAGTTCGTGTATCAAATGATTTTGTTGTTATGGTGGATCCTTATAATTTTGTGACTTTCCAAGATTTGATAGCCGGGAATCTCGACACTCGTGTTGCATTTGGTAAGATTTTATTTTAACATTCTACCTTATTTACACGTGAATATTTATTGTATTACACATCTATAATACAACAACCATTTTTTTTGTTCAAGATTTTCTTAGCCAGGTTGTGTCGACTAATCTCATGAAAGTGATTATTGAAAATGCAAGGGAGAAACGGTTGATGAACCTGGTTGATCAGGATCTAAGTTAAATATATGTGTTTAAAATATTTTATTTTCTAAAGTATTTTCTACATGATACTATAAAACATGTCATTTGCATGAAAATGACATGTTCATCTACACTTCAATATACATGTTTATTTTAGCATTACTTAAAACATTTCGAATCCACTAATTATAGAATTCACCTTTTGTCATAATGTCATAAAGGAAATAATTCATTATTATCAGAGAGTCCATTTATGATCTTCTCACTAACAAATTGGTCCAATGTGGTTAGAGCTATTTCACACATTTTTTTTATCACATGTATTCATACTTTTAAGTTTTAAATTTTCATCTCTCAAATTCTATTTTTTAGTTACATACGTTCATTGAAATTATTATTTTTTGTTTAACATTCTGACCTACTTTGTTTTATCTTTATATAGTAACAATAAAATTTATAAATTTACACAACAATATACATATTTCAAAATTTGTCATAGTATTATACTTTACAAAATACAATTCCATCCAAAATATTTTTCGTCGGTAATTTCATCAATAATTTCACCCAATTTAAATTTGTATTTTCTTTATATATATATATATATATATATATATATATATATATATATATATATATATTTAAATGATCCCGATTTTTTCCCTCCAAAAGTATATCAAACATTTATGTCTTAGATAATGTTGCCCCATTATAATTATTACTTTCCAAAATATATCAGTTTAATGAGGAATTTAATTTAGTAAAGGAAGTAAATGTTAATTTAAACAAAATATATATTCCATAATTATTACACGAGTTTATTAAAAAAAAATCAAGATGTAAACATTAACAATTTTTAAAATGAAATTTCAGAATACATATAAATGATGATGTTGTACACTGAAATATAAAATTGAATAGACTTAAGAAAAAAAAACTATTAAGACAGTCAATCTTGAAAATAGTATAGTTATGAAAAATTATAAAGTAAGATAAAAATTATAAGATATTAAGAGCTTTGTAAGTACAATTAATAAAAGCGTTACGATTAAAAAAAGATCGTTAAGATTAGTAAAAATGAAATATATAAACTAAATTATCACAATAACAATGAAATATCATTATTTGATATTTCATATAATTGAAAGATGTACAAAATTACATTGATGATATACTAAAATTATTCAAAGTTCCGCCAAGACCAATGCAAAGTTATTGCGAACACCAAATAAATAAGAACAAATATAAAAGTTAGCATTTTTATTCAAAATCAATTTAAAATAAACCAATCATGATTTAGAAAAGAATTTCCATTGATGATATACTAAAATTAAATCCATATAACATTTAACATTCCATAAATTATACTTTATAACTTTATTTGAATAAATAAAATAGTTGTCAATATTTAATGCAATGGAAAAAAACAGTATATTGGTTGTCAATATAGGCTTAAATTAAGTAATATTATGATAAACGGAACGTTTAATTAGAATACTTATGCTTATATAACAATATCATAACGATATGTGACAAGGGATGTCATTTAACAAATAAAACAAAAGATATTGTATACAAAGAGGTTCTTCAACGATTATAGATATTTATCGATTTCAATATATCTTCTACACATTTCAATAATACCAATAGCCACAATTTTTTTTTTAATTATTGTGCAATATCTGAAGACATTTATATGTTTTTTATGCGTTCCCCGCGTTTAGCGCGGGTTATAATCTAGTTATTTTTATTACTAAGCACGGCTCATTTTGAGCCTTTGGATCTCTTCAACTTTTGATCTCAACTGCATAAATTCCCTATTTTACATTATTTTTACCGTTTCTTTGCTTCCTCCGCTTCTTCTTCCCCACGTTCGGCTAACCCCCATCTCCTTCAACTACTCACCTTCCGTTTTATTGGCGATCCATGGCAGCTTGTCGTCGCCCCACGGTCTCAACCATCACCGGTTGTCCCCTTCAACAAACATTCAATCGGTTAATCAGTTTCCTTCAAAGAGTGATTCGGTTATGGCTTCAACCTCCTCCCATTACGTCTTTAACCCCCACTTCTCCATAATCCCTAAATATCAGGTAGTTGTGGTAACTTCTCTGCCTATATAAGAGAAGATGTGGCTTCTTTGAGTGTATTAGTTATTCCATCACTTCAAATCTATCTATTGGTTGATCAATAATGGAGGAGAAATTGGTTGTTCTGTTAGAAGATACTTCACCGAAGGTAAAATTTCTTGAATAGATGTTTGGATTTAAATTCTCGTGTTCAAAATTGATTCATCGTTGATTTTATTATATTGTTCAATCTTAGAATCATTTTTTATTGGCCATTCACTATTTTTTTGATATATGATTTTCATTTCTTATCGTTGAATAATGTAGAACACTGAAGTCGTTCATGATATTGCCGGCATTCAAACATTATCAGCTAAATCCATTAGTTCTGAAAGTGACTCTACTGAGATACATGTTTGGATTTAGATTCTCGTGTTTGGAAAGTTATACTTTTTTTCGTGCTTAATTGTACCTATCTCAATTCAAAAATGATTAAATCGTAGGTTTTATTATATCGTTCAATCTAACTATCGTTTATTTTTTTGTCATTTGATATGTTTTTTGATATATGATTTTAATTTCTTATCGTTGCATTATAAAGAACACTGAAGTCGTTCATGAAAATGCCAACCTTCAAACAATATCATCCAAATCCATTGATTCTGAAAGTGACTCTCCTAAGATAATTGAGTATTCTCCTCACTTCATTCCTTATAAATCCATTTTGGAAAGGGTTATTGCGAAAGAGGTAAGAATTTCTCGCCTTTTCATCAATTGTTAATAGTTTATGATGTTTTATTTTTTGTTTCAGGTTTGAAAAATTGCAAAAGAAGATCAACAGTTCGAAAGGAAAAGAAAAAAGGTTTTAGCTCTAACATGGTGGAAGTGGGATGAAGTTGTGGACCTCTGCTCAGATTATGATGAGGAAGATGATGTCATACAACCAAAAAAGCAAGTAAGGGTTTGCATTCACAATAGAAATCGACCCATAAAACTCCTTGATGAGTCGGATGTGGATGCTTGATGTGTCTATAAGTTGGTTTTAGTATATTTGTGTCAACTTTGTTGAGTTTAGGATGCTTCATTTTCAGTATTATGTTTAGTTGTTGTTTTGAATCTATGTTTAAAACGAATCAAACCTTATGGTTTAGAAAAGAATTTAGGTATTTGATAAATGTTTTATGGAATGTGGAGTCATTTCCAACTCTGCTTAGTTCAATTATATTAAGTATTATGATTTTCATATATGGATACATTTTAAGTTCTGGTTCTAATTTGTTTGACAATCATATTTTTTTTCTATTAAATGATGTTAACTGTTTGTAAGAGTCAAAATAGGTTGTAATTAGTCGAAGTCTGTTATGTACCCTTCGTATTATTTTGTAATGTATTTGCTAAGGCGCTTTTATACGAAGCTTAGTTTCGATGCCTTAGTATTTTTTGTACGCTTTCTCAGTTTCCTATAAATAGGGAACTTTACTAGAGTTAGATAGGAGTCCTTTTATAGAACCTGTCTTTGTACTCTGTAAACATTTGAGAGCGTAATAGAGCTGAAACAAGATCATATTTACATCCCGTGTTCAATCTCGCATTCTTACTTACTCTGATTCGTTACTTACTCGATTCATTGATTCATCAATTGGTATCAGAGCAGGAATCATAATCCTTGATCTGATTTTCACGTTGTTCAAAAAGTTTTGAATCGATTTTTTGGTTCAAAAGTTTCCGCACTTTTTGAAAGTGAAAAATTCTCTTAGATTTTAGGTTGTGATTCAATTGTGCATCAGAATTGTTGAATCGAGTGTTCTTCTTTTCATTTCTGAGTGATTCAGTTAATTTGTTTTCAAATTCTCAATTCTCTTAAAAAATTTCTTCCGTACAACAATGGCGAGCTTCAATCTCAATTCGATGACCTCGTTTTCTCATTTGTTAGGATCTTCGACCAAAATTCCAATGCTAATTCCTAAATATTATGATCAGTAGGCTGATCGTATGCAGGATTATCTGAATGGTCTTGATGAAGAATTGTGGTCGTGTATCTCTGGAAATGTCAATCCTCCGACAAATGTTCAACCGATTGGATCATCTTCTGGAAGTTCTGTTGTTGAAAATCAAACTGATCGTCTGAAGAAACTAGAGAAGAGGTGTATGAGAGAATTGCGAGGAGCATTACCTCTGGTTGTGTACAATTACGT